GGGGGGTGGGGCAAGATAACAATAACTCCAATGTTGTGCCTTAGACACTTTAACTCTTAGTTGATGATGTTAAATTGGTCATCTTTGTAAAGTGAAGTCTGTGTCTGTATACACCAAATCACTGTTTCCTGGTTGAGCATACCTAACACACTGTCTTCTCCAGCACACCTAACACACTGTCTTCTCCAGCACACATAACAGACTGTCTTCTAACTTTCTCACTGTAATCACAGTTGCCAGTATTACCTGGAGAATGTGGACAGTTATTTCTAAAATCTCATCTTGGATCTCAGCTTGGTTGTGCGTGCTCCTCTAGTGTGTGAGAATAGGATAGATTTACAAAGATAAAAAGATGTCTGGCTTGAAATCCCATCTTTTCTTAGGCCTTTATATGGTGACAATGCTTCTGTCACATCTAACACAATCAGTATATGTCACACCTAACACAACCAGTGTCTGTCACACGTAACACAATCAGTATCTGTCGCATCTGCCATATGCCATTTGTTTGATATGATATGAGATAAGATATGATATCAATGGCGTGCCTGGAGAACTGGGGTCAGCTTTGCAAAACTATTATCAGTCAAGGATTTACCTTGAAATATTGCTTTATTAACACAAGCAGTTATTAAACAATATGTTTATGATGGAAATATTTGGATGTGAAAGTTGTTTTCCATTTTTAAAAAGTTCTTTGGGACAGGGTGCATCATATTTATTTATCACAAGTATATAACTGTTACTGTATTGTGTTATTTTATATCTTCTGTTTTGATGTTGGTTATTACCAAGGTCTGTGATGTTTCCTATGGCACAAACAATCATTCACGGCCAGTGGGACAGGTGGAGCCCTTGGTTCTGGAATGTGAGTCGAGTTTTTGGTTACTTTCCTTCTGACCCCCCCTCCTCCCCAGCCCTCTTTTCTCCATAATCCCTCTAAAACTTTGATCAGTTGAGAAAGGCAGGAAAAGGAGGGGGGGGGGGGTTCATAAGAAATATCTTGTGCTAGGTAGGTTTTTACCAATTTTCAATGAAATTGTTTGTGTCAAGGCACCTTTAATTTTTAGCTTCTCAAAATGTTTATGCAAAATATTGTTGTAAAGGGAAGCCTCTGATTCAGCACTGTCTAGTGTTGGCTACATCTGGGTTCTTCAAGTACTAACAAATACTAATGGTTTATGGACCTGGTATGTGTTCTTGTTTCATACACTAGTGCTGCATGATAACCTGATCCTAATATAACAGCTTGCACTGACTGCTTAGACAGACTTACTCACAGCATGCTAACTTCTGCACCCACCCAAACAATATCTTAGTGCAAAATGTGCCAAATTACCCAATTAATAAGTTTTTAAAACCATCTTTATTTTTCTTGTTTTATTGCAAGCATGATTTAAATTGCTGGGTCTTTTCTAGTATATTAAAATTTAATTTTTTTGTTAAAGTCAAATATTTCAGACAAAACAACTATTATTGGATGAAGAGAAACCTGATGAAATAATAATTAATAATGGCAAAAATTAATTATTTGTTTGAAAAAAAAATATTGTACTAGCAGAAGCCCAGTATATTTTGTGCTTATCTTCCTCATATATTTATCTGTTTTTTTTTTTGTTTTTTTTTTTCATTTGAGCCACATTCATTTTTGGGTTTCACTTTCACTTTCACTTTGGGTGCAGGTCAGTTATGCTTGACCGGGCAGAGGAGTTAATCCATGGTGCTTATAGTGAGTGGAGTATTGAGTGGTGGACGGTAAGTGGACCTAGGCAGGGGGGGGGGGGGGGCAGCCTCACAGGGAAGCATTAGTTAGAAGTTGGTCTAAGTTAATGGAAAAAAATATTGATCTACTTTTTCCTGTGAATATCTGCAGTAGTCCATTGAAATATAGCAAATATCTATCGTAGAATATAAACCATTTCTTACTCTTTGAGAGAAAGGCCGGCACAGGAGTCCTATTTTAGTGAACCAGGGCTAATTTCCCCTGGGGTCTATTGCTCAACACTACTGGGGTTTTTGGTCTTTGTTGATGCTGCTAACTCTGATAGCCAACTACTAAAAGCTGACTTTAGGATATTTGTCTTGCACTGCTTTTTCAATGAGTGGCATACAGTGGGGATATTTAACATGTCTAAAGGGAGGGGGTCAACTGTTGGCCTTCTTACCATTGTTTGGCGCTGCACTTCTAAGCTTCTATTTTTAGCTTTAGAGGATATTATATTGGGAACTTTTTTTACAGAAATATGTAGCACAAATCTTTAAATGCATACCTTTGCTTAACCAAATTCATATGAATGTAAGCACAAATCTGTGACAGCACTTATGATGTCTGCTGAAAAAGTGTTATGTAAAAATAATTCTTTGCACATTTTGGACAAATTATATGAAAACAACATCTGTTTATATGAATACTTTTTAGAATAATTCTCTTTTAAGGAAATTAAGAAATGTCATATGGAAAGGTGCTTTTTAAATAACAAAAGGAATCAAAGTATTTATAGTGCTTTTCAATCCTGATTTTTTAAAACTTTTGCACCATGTTTTCATGTTTTAGGCACGTCGCAGTATGAGATTTTCTAAACAGTTGCGTGATATAGCTGACAAGTTCCGGGAACAAGAGCTGGACTCTACGGACGAGAAGGACAGGACAGTCCTGCTGGAGGACTGGACCAAGATGAGGGTATCTGTATAGTTTTAACAAGGGGGTTGAACTCCTAAGAACCAGGTATGTTGAGTAGATTGATGATTTTGGTATTCTGTCTCTTTTACACACAGTACACTAATGCCCAAATTTGATGAAGCTTTCAATGCACACACACATCCTGGCCATGAGTAATCTCAGCACTTTTCATGTGGACATTTGTGACAAAGAAAGCCAAGATGTGTAGTAACTGGGTGCACATATAAATGTGTACTGTGTGTGAAAGAGAAAATATGGCAGAATTATCAATATATACTCAACATACTTCCCATCTTGGGAGTTCAACCCTCTTGTATAGTGTGTTGTGGATATCAATGTATATTTGACCAAGATGATTTACTGAATCATAGTTATAATGTGTTATGATAGTAATGAAATACATTATATAATCATGTGATGGTATGAAGAATGGATGCCCTGAATGGGGAGAGGCTTTGGAAGTGTCACATATTGCTATATTACAGTAAGGTAGCTCCACTAGTGAGAAATGTGGATACTAAACCTTGCACATGGAAGATAGGGCATTATTCACAGTACCTGTATGGATATAATATGTAAAAGATGTCATGTTATAATATGATAACTCTAGGAATAAGTGCCTGGAATTGGGACAGACTTTAGGTGGGTCACTTGCTAAGATAAGATAAGATAAGATACATTAAGAATTTATTTAACCAAGACATATATAATTATTTTAGTACCAAAAATCATTTAAGAATATCAGTTTCCCTTCATTACCATCTTATTGTTCTTTCTTTTTTTAATATTGTCTCTGTGTTTGTTGCAGAGAAAGCATGGTGACGCGCTGGGAGGGCCGTATCTGAGTATTCACCTGAGGCGGAGAGATTACCTGTATGCCCACAAAGAAGAAGTCCCCAGTCTGTTGTATGCAGCAGAACAGATCAAGTCAGGCCTGGAGAAACACAAACTGAAGACTGTCTTTGTGGCCACAGACGCCCCAAAAGAAGGTGAGAAACTTTTGGAAAATTAAAAATTTTTAGCACCTGTTTATGAAATGACCATCTGATATTCTTTTACCTTGTGAAAACTGTTTACTAAAATCTCATTTTTTATATCCTTATAGTGCAAGATTAGAATTAACAACAACAAAATCTAGGAATATTACTTTTTATTATAGAAAATTATCCTCCACAATGACAACAATAATGAAGTTAATTATCAAAATAATTAATAATATATGATGATTCACATGATTGACATGAGAGAGAACCTTGAAAAAAAAGGTATGCTCAACGAGGTTGTGAATTTTAGTATACTGATAAAGTTATGCCTCAGTGTAGACATGCAGTTTGTGCTAATTTAGCAGACTGGCTGCTGCTGAAAGATCCATCAGGCCCATAGCTTGGGGGGGGGGACAATTTGAAAGGGAAAGGGTTTGGTACACTTAGGTTTAAGCTCCACTTTTTTAGACCACACAACTCCCTTTGAAGTTGCTGGCCATAGGCCTGTTTACATGAAATGATTTTAATGGATGAGAATCTTCATGTTTTTGTCTACATACCAAATATCAAAATCTGACGAACAAGTGACTTGTTCACCAACATGGAAAACTGATTTGTCAGCAATAAAAATGACATCATCCCTATCAGCTTTTAGGAATGTACAGTTACATATATGGTAGTGAGAGACAGAGCTTCATAGAGGTTCCCGTAGGGTATTTTTATTACTTGTGAAAGCCCCTTTTTATTTACCAAGATACATGAAACACTGATATTATTTAACATATTCCTTGAACAACCCCATTCCTGTGACACTCCCCACAATGGGACCCTCTTCATAGGCATGTTGTTTGCAGTAGGAATGCCGGGAACAGATCAGACTAGATCAGACCAGTTTCTCAATTTCTAAAAGATAAATTGTGTTTGTTTGATTTTAACATCACATGTCAAATTATAAATTTATCTACTTTTGTGAACAAGTAAGATGGATGTTTAACACTGACTTGAACAATTCATATTTTTACAAAGGTTTTTATTGCTGAGTTTTAATCAAATCAACCAAAATGATGTTTCTATGTAATTAATTATTAATCTTGTTGGAACTGCTTGGCACATTATTATATACAGACACATATTGCATTAAAATTGACAAAAATCCTTTTTTGTGTGCTGTCATTATCTTCTGCTTCATTTCTGTACATTGGGCGACTTTGCTGCTTTGTTGTAATATATTTGTTAGCTTAGATGTCTGGTTAGATTGCAGTCAATCTTCTTATCTGTCAGGTCAAGAGGAATCTGTTGTTCCCATCGTGTCTGGAATACTTCTGCTGTTTTATTTACTTAACCTGTCGCCATAGGAATAATCATAAGAAAAGGTCTCTCTTGTTTAAATGAAGTTTGGGTTTGGCGTCAACCTGAATGATACCTCTGTCACAGCAACAATGCCCTATTGTTTCAGAGAGCATGTCAGTGTACCAGGAAGGAACAGCCAAATATGGTTTTAATGATGTGAGGTTTTCCCCACTCTCCTTATGACAGATACATAGTGTCTCAACACACAGCCATCACTTGTGTCAGTCATTGCCATTTTTATCATCTTGCAATAATTATTTTAAGACTAAAATACAGTAATGCTGTTGGAGTTTGAAAACTTGCCTAATTATTTTTTATCTTGAAGATGGCCTATGCCAGATGTAACTTTGAATTCCCATGGGTCTGCTAGTTACATTTTTTCATTGCCCACTGTAATATTGGTCCGTACTTGGTGGTAATTAATGTCACAGAATGATGATGATAGGAAACAACACAACTCTTTGGTAGAATTCCCTTTATTTTCTCCATGTTCTTAATACAACATCAAGAAATAATTGCAACATCTTTTAAATTAAACTGATTCTCAAAACACAGTAGTCTTTCCATTCAGTTTTGAGCATACATTTCGTGAGAGAAAGACCAATTAATACAATATTTTTCTTCTTCCAGAAACATGCAATACTTTTGTTATTCAAAAAACTTAGTCAGTTGAATAATGTAAAAGTTGCTCTGTACATTTGTATGAATGACTTATATGAGAAGTTGGGGAACACAATGTAGGGATAGCATAATCAAACAAACAGTTAACTGCATATCATACAAATAGATATGTGGCATGAATGGGACATAAAAAATTGCGCTTAGATTACATTACCTATCATAACGCTCTCATCTTAAAAGTACTCTACATGCATTTGAAAATTCTCCAGTCATATTCATTTCTGAGAAGCTTCCTACATCTCCTAATTCAAACCTTAAAGATGCTAAATCCCTTAAAATCTGAAGCAAACCTGGCAGCTGGCAAAGTCTATATTATATGTGACATAGGGCTTCAAAACACTGAACCATTTTCTTGTGTTATGAAATCAAAACTACGCCATGCTTGGTCAAGGGAGGAAGCTGTGATCCTTAATGACTGACCAGTAATTTAGAACTATATTCCTTAATATTAATGGAATAAAACATTGAATCCAAGTGTGTAGGGACAGGTTGAGCAATGATTGGTAATTAGGAGAAAATTATGTTTTATTAACAGGAAAATTAATTTAAGTGGGTATATGATATCCTGTGCAGAGTGCCTTATATATGTGAATATATGTAGAATATGTGCAAAGAGGGTTATTGTAGACTTAACAAAGGGCCGTCATAACTTAACATTTAGTTGCGGTATCATATCTTAACATATCTTGTACTTGTATGAGTATATGGATCAGATGTTTTTTTTGGAAGGGGGGGAGGGCTTCCATAAATTTAAGCTTCACAACAGGAAGGTCCAGAAATTGCACTTTCTAATCACATGAATACAAAAATCCACCCAATTCTCTACAAAGAACAAGTGTCAGGCACATGAGTATTACATAAAATCTTGTCATTATGAGTTTGTAAACTAGAAAAGTACTGAAAGAGCACAGACCAATGCCAAAGATCCTAAGATTGATTGTGGAATTGACAGGACATTGCACAAGGTCAAGGTCATTGGCCTTATGTATCTTGCTAGTGTGAAGAAACGTTTAAAGGTTCTTAGGTCTAGATGATGTGGATGAAAGGTCACCGCCAAATCCTAATCACTTTTAAGGACGCATTCAGAACAAGGTTATCCATGGACTAACAGATCTATGGATCAGATACGGTGGTCCGCCTTGAAAGCTTGTCACATAATCCACTAATATACACTGAATAGATTTCCCATGGTGATTACATGGCAAGCTTTCAAGTGCATCGGCCATATTCAGTCCACTGGTCAACTCTGGTTGTGAATGTGGTGCAAGTTAGCCAATGATGACCTATCCTGAATATTTTATCAGATCCATCCAAAACTTTTTGATTTAGTCTGATGACAAATGAAAAAACAAATTGATAGACAGACGGAGATGAAAATGGAGCCTCTTTGCCATCAGTAAGTATGTCAGATGTCCATGATCATTTTGTGTTAATAAATGAAATGACAGCTCATTTCATCTCACTCTGGTGAGGGACCAGCCCATCACTCTACTCTGGGGTAGCGCTAACACTCGCCAATTTAGCCAAATGCTAAATCTGACTTAAATTGGCTAAAGAAAAAGGGCCTGATTTTACTTGTTCTAGCCAAATTCTAACCATTTTGATAGGAAATTGACAAAAATGTGGTGATTTGGCTTAGCAAAAAAAAATTGCTAGCGCTACCCCAGCTACTAGTGCAGTATAGTACAGTACTTGATGTTCTTTTACAGTCTGTTAAATGATATGTATGTATCCTCGGCTAGTTTTGTTCATCTGTAGTTTCATCCTTGATCAAATTGATACTGTTTCCATTTCCTACTTGGAGATTGACATGGGATCCAGGTAGGATATTGTAATAATAGTAGTTGATCACATTACCCTCCTTTTTGCTGGTATTATCTGGAAAAACAATCAAGAAGTATTCAATAAAATTATAAGAGTTACATTCTGTAGCAACTATTGTTTCAATTGTTTTAGTATACAACTGCATTTTTTCTGTATTCTGTTATCTTTTATTTCCCTTAACTAGGTTTTGTTAAAGATTAGGTGTGGAGTATCAAATGTTTTCAAAGGGGAGAAGAATAACCAACATCATCTATAAGGACCTATAATTTTGAAAGCAATTATAGATGTAATTATGCAATAAGCATTAATTTTGTCTGCTTGCTTTCATTGAGGTAGTCATTGTTTATTAAAATGGATGATAAAATGTAACTGAGGAAGTGTTCTTTTTTTGTGTTATTATTAATCGATTAAAAGAAGCTTACCTTGGTTTAACAAGCATGATTTGGCACCTTTAAGATCTGATGGGCTGCAAGTAAAAGAAGACTGCAGTGATGGTCTAGTGAAGTCACCTTGCATGGCAAATCCTGGTTCGTTTGTGTTAGAAGACTGACTTGTTGCGATGTTCGGACAACTCAAATATCTGGCAATTTCGCCCTTATCTAGGTATCTACTGATTTTGGCCTTTCTTTGGTTGTTTTTGCCTGTTAGGTATCTTCTGTTGGAGACATCATCTTCGTTGGTGAGTAGTTCTGTGTCTTCCTGTGGTTGACTGTCTTTGCCAAATGCTTTCAGTGGTGTACTATGTTTCTTATACATTGTAGCTCTAGCACTATGGTATTTCTGGTAACTTTTGAAACTTGCTGAAGACATGTGGTATGTTTTCCTGGAAGATATTTTGGAGAAACCCAACCCCATGGTTAGTTCATTGATGCTAGAAGAATACCTGTTGCTTATATAAAAAAGTTCAGCAGTTATCCATGTGTGAAACAGTGAAGATTCACCTTGAGTGCCACCAACTAAGTGCTCTCACCACCGTTTATCTTCACAATAAGGCACTGTTCACTAGCTCATCATTTTAACCTACTTACTATAAAAATCTTTGATTAAGACCTTCTTTACAGGGTGTCCAAGTATAAATGTAACCCAAGAACATGGACGCCATTAATTTTATTTTTATTATTCTGGGATGGTGTTGGGGTTGTTTCTGTAGA